AAGAAAGCACTCACATACTCCGACGTTGACATCACCCACCCGTTCCTCACGTTATCTAGACAGCAGGTTGAGACCCACATCGTAGTCCACATGACACCTCAGCAGCAGGACCACCTAAGAGCCGAGGGCCAGGTCAACTTCAATGCCCAAGACGACGACACGAACGAAATCTCCTCCATGAAGCTCAAGTGGCGCGGGAGCTACTACAACCTCATAGGCAAGTGGGGCAAGATCGTCCGCACCAAGGGTCTCGAGGTCGGGCAGGAAATCAAACTCGGGTGGTTTAACGGCTGTTTACATTTTTCAGTCCCTCAGCAGCAGATTGTCGCGGTCCCACCCATGAGACTGGCCGCTCCTCCTCTGGTGGTGCACGACCACTGGCCGATCAGAAAAGTGCTGACGTCATCCGATGTCGACCCGAACCACCCGTTCCTCCCTTTACCCCGTAAATCGGTGGAGGACCACGTGCTGGCCCACTGGCCCCCGCACGAGAGGGAGCGGCTGAGGAAAGAAGAGCAAGTGTCGGTTGACGCACGGGACTACGACACTGGGGATGCCCACGGGATGAAACTCAAGTGGCGGGGCAATTATTACAACCTCATTGGGAAATGGGGGAATATTATCAGGCAGAGAGGGCTGGGCGTGGGCCAAGAAATCAGGCTACGGTGGGCCAACAACTGCCTTTACTTCTCGGTACCAGATGACCGGTACATGGCGGCAGGGCCCAATAACTGGCCCATCAAGAAAGCACTCACGCTGTCGGATGTGGACACGAACCACCCGTTCCTGACGCTGCCAGGGAAGGCGGTGGAGGATCATATCCTATCCTATTGGACCCACCAGGCTCAGGAGCAGCTGAGGCACGAGCACCAGGTGGGGGTGAACGCGCGGGATGACGACACAGGGGATTCTTACGTGATGAAGCTGAAGTGGCGCGGGAGTTATTACAATCTGATTGGTAAATGGGGTAAGATAATTAGGGAGAAGAGGCTGCACGTGGGGATGGAGATTAGGGTGAGGTGGGACAACGGGTGCTTGATCTTCTCGGTGCCTCAGTGATAAAGAACCCGTGATGTGTAGATATATATAGGTAGAAACTTATTTTACCCTTATATGAGTACATTTCTGTTCTGTGCCTATGAATCGTGAGTTTTGCGTGAGTGCCTTTTCGTTTTAAGTTTTGATGGTTTGGCCTGACGGAACATATGGGATTTTTTTTTAGCCTTGACGATGATCAGTGGTGTAATAGTAATACAGAAAGTTGCGAAATTCAGCAGGAAAATTCCTGTGGAGCTGATTTTTATGTTATTTTTTCCATCGCCATCTTTTATTTCAGATGTAATTTTAAACAGATAGTTGAAATTTGGATCTTATGGCTAAATTAATATTGCAAGTAATGCTTTGCTTTTGCAGATCTTTCTTCTTGGACTGAAATAGCTTAAAAACTCTGATTTGTAGTGTCGTTTCTGGAGGTAAGGGCTCATTGTTGCTTTGTATATAAAGGTATGTTTTAACTTTTACATATTGTGTTTAAAGAAGGAAAAAAGACCCCCATGATACAAAAACAATGTATTTAGCATACTTTTATGTTGCTTTTATATTGTATTTCTTTTCGTCTGATCTCGGACCCCTCTCCTTTGCATGCTATGCATTAATCTTCTGTACTGCAAATATTTTTGTATTGGAATTAAGTTTGGAAAAATTACATACATGGACACCTGTCTATAGATATTTACATATATACAACCACTATCGGATTGTTTTCTTACGGAGCCATCCACTACTTAATGTATTGACACATGTTTCAAAGTGTATTTATTGTGGGACCCGTGTCAATACACTATTAGTGAGTAAGTGTGGGTGACTCCATAAGACGAGTCATTCGATAGCTCCATAACAAAACTGTATCAACTCCTGCAAACATTAATCGAAAGAGGATTAAGAAGTGATTTTTATTTCATTTGTACGAGATTATGATTTCTCTCACCAGATCCGTTTCTCTCGCTCTCTCCATTTTATTGATCATGGCATAAATACGCCGAAATTTATGCATGAAAAACGGAAATTCCATAAAGAAAAAGGCAAAATTGCGGCTAATATCGTGACCTTTATCGAGATTACAAATTACTAACGAGCTTTGAACTTTTGCATAATATATCACGCCCTTCAATTCTTTGCAAAACAATACACGATTTTCATTTGTTGCCCCAACACATCTGATGTGGCACACAAAATGCCAATGCACCTGATGTGTATTTAATAGACGATTTTTTTTGGCAAAATTGCGGCTAATATCATGACCTTTATCGAGAATCCAAATTAATCACGACCTTTGAACTTTTGCATAATATATTACACCCTTCAATTCTTTGTCGAATGATACACGGTTTTCATCTACTGTCCCAACACATCTGACGTGGCACTCAAAAAAATGCCAACGCACCTGCTGATAAATGCCAACGCACTCAAAATGCCATCTCGTCGGGTCGGCGGTCCGACGGGTCTGGCTCGTCGCATAATATATGTATCTCAATAAACCACGGGATCTTCTACTATATATCTCAAACACCCTCTTCAACTTGTACCAGTGGAACAACAAGAAGATGATAAAACTCGAATGGGAACTGAGAGAAAGAGAGATGGATGGGGCGCGACCGATTTTGCTTATATGGAATAATGTTCCAACTCTCCTATTTCCATGAGCTTAATGGTGTATATACAGAGTTACAGTAGGGACCCTTAAGAGATTAGGAATAGGTTCCTTAATTAATTAAAATACTTATGGGTCAAACCTACTATTCTAATTAATTAAATAATATTAATAGGCCACCAACATAATATTATTGAACTTCCTTTTTTCCTAGACAAATTTACAATTGAGACTCCAATAATAATTACTTCAATTATCTCCCTATGTTTAAGATATAATGTTCATTAATTAATTCGATTACTGATAATCAAGAATTAATTAATTTATTATTATTTCACCGAAGCTAGCGCTCATTCATCACATTCTTACTATGCTGGAATTTAATCCACCTGCAGGGTTTAGCATAATAATCCTTCATTAACTCACTCCGGAGACATCATCAAACTAAACGTATATGTTGACCGTAAATATCCTAATAGCACATCATACATGCAGCAATATTACCGAAGACAATGGATCTATTGGTCCAGTTCACTAAACCTCACCCGTGTGAATCAAAGCAATATGTACTGCATATATATGTCTATTTAATATCATACAGGTTAAGAGAAAAATGTTCAATACAAAAATGTACTTAGTGCAACTAATCAGTCAAGATAAATTGTACTATTGACACTACAACCGTTCACGATGGAGTGTTCATGTCCATCTAGGTTGTGAACCATTATTCTTGTTTCGCTAGTAACTGAGTTGAAAAAAAAGATCGTCTATTAAATACACATCAGCAAGTGCTTTGGCATTTTGAATGCCACGTCAGATGTGTTGGGGCAGCAGATGAAAATCGTGTATCGTTTTGCAAAATATTGAAGGGCGTGATATATTATACAAAAGTTCAAAGGTTGTGATAAATTTGCAATCTCGATAAAGGTCATGATATTAGTCGCAATTTTGCCAAAACAAATCGTCTGCTAAATACACATCAGCAGGTGTGTTGGCATTTTTAATGCCACGTCAGATGTGTTGGGGCAGCAGATGAAAACCGTGTATCGTTTTGCAAAGAATTGAAGGGCGTGATATATTTTGCAAAAGTTCAAAGGTTGTGATTAATTTGCAATCTCGATAAAGGTCATGATATTAGCCGTAATTTTGCCAAAAAAAAAAGAAATAAATAACATGCCAATTTTGATAAATATAATTCAGGTAATCACGAATTCAAATTTCGAAACGAGATTTACATGTCAACGAGTTCTTGCAGTACGGTAAAAAACACAAAAACCAACTGAAAAAAAAAATCGACTGTGTTGCAGTTTAAACAGCTAAATATATTGTCTAATAACCATCAAATATATGTTCAAATATATTGTATATATACATCAGATAAAATGATCCCTCTAATATTAAGCATGTAGTTATACATAAGATAAACAACATATAAACAATTCTGAAACGGGATAAAATATAATACACAATTTTGAATGACTGCAAAATCCAAATAAAATGCAATTATACATAAGATAAACAATACCAGGAAAATCAATCAAAATTTGGGATCCAACTCTTGTCGAGAATCTGAAGATCTATTTTTTTTTTCTTCGAGGACTCGCCTGATAATTCTTTGTTCTTCATCGTCCCATTCATACAAAAATTCATCGTTCCCTAATAGTTCACTCCAGGTAATTAACTAGGCGTCTTGAATGTCTGCTTCTTCGAACTTCTTGTAGCCGAACTTTTGTGAAATTGAAGCATTTTTTAGACGATTTCCCATTCGAGCAATTGATTATCAGTTGTTGTACGAGTTCTAGAACGATGTCTTGTTTCATCTTCATCATCATTCAGATTAAGATGTGGGTTGCCTTCCCTTCGCCATTGCCAGAATTTTTTAAATGAATGTTCGGGGTTTACGTTCTCTTTTGCTCTGTTTCAAAAATGTTGAAGAAAGTGAAACTTCTGAGAGATTTTGGCAGAAGATTTACACAATCGCCGATAAGTTTGGCCCACTATCATTATTTCAAGGGTAATTAATGAATTCATTATTTAGGAACCTGAAAAAAAAAAGGCTTTTATGTTGACCTTGATTTTTTTAAAAAAAATATTCGTAACTTTACAATTAAAGTGTTCCTTTCGTGATTATAAGTAAAGAATGTTGGACTGTAAGGAGAGTAAATTTCTCATTATGTTTTGACCGAGAAAGAAGTGGCGCCCGCCATTATAATGTACACCCAACACAGAGGTAAATGCTTCGATATAATTTTTTCTAAAAAAAATCAATTATTTTTAATTAATCATTTTTTTAAATTTCAATCTAACTCAAACTTTAACTCAACTTGACTTTTTTTTTTTTTAAACGACACGATAGAGAATTTTGTATAACAAAACGCACAAATGTGCAAAGATATAACCCGAAGTTGAATAAGACAAGCCAAAACTGAGTAAAATGGGAGGACAGGTCTGACGACCGCCTAGAATCCCGATCTAGCAACGCTAGGAACCGAAAAGAAGACTCACCAAACAACAACACAATAGACCACAAAAAACTACAACAAAAAGCTCCCCACAGGAGAATAGAGACAGCAGTAGATCCCAACAGGATAATAAGTTGCTCCTGCTCGAACTGAGGCCAATGACCCAAACCAAAAATACAGAACACAAACACTCAGGCAAAGAGCCGGAACCTAAAACACATTCTGTTGTTACACGAACTACAACCACTCTTCCTAAAAGCCGTGAAGAGTATCGAGAATCTCCGTTATCAGCTCACCGACCTTAACTCTCGGTTGAGGTTTGCCGACGATGGAAAAAGTAATAAGTGGGTCTGAAACCTATCTGTACGGACTCTTCCGAAAAGTAAACATACTCCTCATCTCGCTCGCCGAGGGAAGGTCCCACTTCTTCTCAGCGAGAAGCACTAGTAAACCTATGACCCGTTTCCAAGAATTTGGGGCAATTTGACATAGGCTCAGTTCCCAATTCCGCAAGTATTCAGTGATTACGCGGCAAAGCGAATCGTAAACCCAACCTCAAGCTTTCAGCAAACACACCTATACATCCCGGTGGAGGGCACATAATTCTCTCCCCAGGATACGGCGCAAATAATTTTACCGACGCAGGAACCCGGATATCATTTCGTAACATCACGATGTCTGCGTCGGTTAATATACTTGCCTCACCGTGAAAATCTATCGCGGGATTTGGCCATCTCCTTACAGGTCGTCTCCAATATTTCGGTTGATCTACGACATTTTCCTCTACCTTCTTATCTCCCTCTGTATCATTTAACCGGATATTAAGGTGTTCAACGAATGTCGGATCCCATCGATGGTACTCAACCAATAACTCCATCTCTCCGGAGTGCACCATGTTAATCATCATAACATCCCGGTCATTATCGCTCGACGACGCCCACGATAAA